TCACCCAACTAGCTCATCTTCAAAAACACAATTTAGTGCACACAGGTTGGTCAGGAAACTTAGGGAAAACCACTTTTTTTGCTAAGTTTCAAAGTTTTCAGGTGAAAGACCGCATCGGTGTGATATCTGTGACAAACGCTTTTCGTCTACATCAAATTTGAAGACTCATCTACGACTACACAATGGTCAAAAGCCGTACGCTTGTGATGTATGTAGTGCGAAGTTTACACAGTACGTACATCTTCGCCTACACAAACGTCTACATGCGAACGAACGACCATATGCTTGTATGTCGTGTGGAAAGAAGTACATAAGGTAGAGTAGTTAAGAGTAGTGGAATATATGGAAGACAAAATTTAGCCTAAGTGAGCTTTGAATCGGCATAAAACCTAAGATCAGCCCTAAGTGTAGTTGTCAACCTTGTTATCTAAGATTCGTAGTCGTTTCAAGAGCAACAATGCGAACTTGGTAACCTTGAGTTTTACTCGCAAACAACAATGCGCTACGATCAATCTTCGTCTGAGTTCGGAGTCGCTTACTCTTTCGTCAATGCCGATTACGGTAGACGATTGAATAGCTAGACAACAGCTATATCTAGACAGGGAACTAGAATACTAATCATACGTCGGGGAACTGCTCTATAGTATGACTTATACTCGTAAAATTTAAGCCTAGATTCTAGCTTTTATATAATTCTTTCAAAATGTTTGTTAAATTACCTAAAATAGACCTTACAATTCGTTTTTCCTGCAGATGTGGGAAGCTTTATCAGAAAAGTTCCGTATTTCTAATTTCCTTGTTTTATATAAGGTTTCTCGCTAGATTTTTCATTTTTAAAATGTACAAAACCTTCTTTCATTCTTGTACCCTCTATAAAAAGGAAGTCAAATACCAAGAAAAAGTTCTGGGTCATCACAATGAAGTGACTTTTGACCTTATGCCCTTTGCTCTTGCGGGTTACATGGCCTTGGAAAGGTAAGAGGCTACGGTTACCCGCAGCAAAGTAATCTATGTGACGAAACTGTTTTGAAAGGTAGACTAAAGGTCAGAATTAAACTCAAAGTCTTTCAATCTCGGCTATCGAGTCGTGCGAAGAAACCGAAAGAACACAAAAAGCAAAACGTGCCATATTCAATATCAAAATTGTGGATTCATCTAAATATTACAGAATTTACGCGGGTTAAGGCGCTCCTTCCACCGTAATCTACTCAAAATGCATATGATAACGTTGGAACCCTCTCAATGAATATACGCTTTATTTTTTCTTGTTGAGGTCTCAGACTTACCATCATTCATCAAGCCGCTGCCATTCACTATTAATCACTCCCCAATAACGATAGAAATAAACCCAACTGGAAATTTAGCGGACGGACCATATATAATGATTTGTTAAGAAGTAATAAATAAATTCTAGAAATCTGAAAGGGCAGATTGAATTGAATCCACAAGTAGAAGATAACCTGACTCAAATGTCTAATTTGCATTCAAGAA